GTTTGATCCATTGTTTAATTTAAATGGCATATTGTACTCATTTCTAAATGGTAAAACCAATACTAGTAGATATGACAAGAATTATTTTCCTTTTCTACATATTCTTTCAGAATTTGAGAGATCCAGTGAGATTTCAAGTCCTAGAAATGAACAGTCCCTCCAGTTCTGGCATTGGAATAGACAAAAGTGTTGAGGTTATTATACTGTTTTTATTAAGCAAAGTGAAACAAAAATAGACTATACCATCTGGAGATTTTAAAATGATGCCATTGCTTTTACTTATAAGTCACTCTAGGATTTACTTATGCTTGTAATTTTAAACTTGAGAAACCCATAGGTTATAGTAGGTAATATTTAGGAAGCAGGGGTTAGGCATTGGGTTTGTTATGCCCTGGGCTCATGTTCCAACTTTACTATTTCTTAGCTGAGTAAATTAGACAAGATACATAAAGCTTAAATGAAAAAGTGATTATAAAATGCCAAGTTCAGTGCAGATTGTTTTCCTGTCCCTTAATGTGAATTCAGCTAATATTTCTCAAAATGTGTTCTGTTAAACCTCTTTCCTTCAAGATCCCCATTCAGAAATGTGCTCATTGGTCAGCTGAAGTTGTGAAAATGCCATATAGTACCGTATTCTCTGTTGAAAAGCTCCAGCAGTCATTGTAATAGTTAATGGGTTTGAGAAGTCATGACACTAGAAAACCATTTCTTCTTAACTCTTTGAAGCCTGAAGCCTAATGTTTCCCATTTTTTATTTTACCATTATGCTTTCTCCCCTTGGGACAACTATTAACCATCAATCCATGTTTTCATTTTGGAGAACGAGAATTTAGGCTCAGAGGCAAAGTCCATCACAGTATGCAGGTGTCTTTATTGAACCACAGCTACCATTAGGACTAGTTAATGCTTTCTAGTCTAAAAATTGCAAGTTTGTGTACTGGTATGAACAGGATTAACATTTTGGAGAACCGAGTTTGAATTGGTTCTGTCATTCGGAACTGGGCTGCCTAGACTAGTACCAAGTCTCATTGGGCTCACCTATAACATGACACACTTTGTGTCTTTCTCATGAAAATGCTGGAAATCAAAGAGAAAATACTTCTGAGAACAAACTTGGAAAGATAAAATGCTGGCAATGGAAAATGCTATTAGTCTTGCCCTAGGAAAAGGAATTGTAAGATATTGGGACATAGAGAAGTATTATTAAAGTTTAGCTGGGTCGGTTCTCTTTTTCACTGAGTAGTTTTTGTTTTTTTTTTTTTTTGACCTTATTGCCTATCTTTTTGATGCATTTTCAACTGTGGGTTTCATAAGTAAAATGATTCCCAGATGAATGTGCTTGCATGTCAGTAGCTCTGTCTTTTGTCAGTGTTTGGTGACTTGCTTAAATAAGCTATTTCACAATATTGTATATAATATATATAGCATCTTGTATCTGTCCCTGCTGCTGAATAGTCAGTAAAGAATTATAATTATGATGCCAAATAGAAAAGAAAGCAGGCTTATTATAGACTCTAACGTATTTAATGCTCTTCCTCTCTACTTGTTCTATATTTTCTGTTTGATAAAGTTAAGGAAAGTAATATAAACACTATGGAAAATCTAAGAAATTTAGAATCAATGTGTCAATAGCATGTCATTTATTGATTTGTGCTAATTGATACAATTGTTGACGTCATTTCCTTATTGTATCTGGAAAAACTTAGATGGCATTTGGAGTAGCGTATATAAAACTATAGAAAACTTAAAGCCATATTTTGTAAAGTTTTAAGATCAACATTTTACATAGTATAATAAGTGGGAATCATCTTAAAATGAAAGAAAAATGCCTCATTAGAAACTTTTTTGTCTATTTTTTGCTAAAGACTTTAAGACACTTAATTATCATGGGACATTAGAGGCTTTAGATTCTAGTTTTATGTTTCCTGCTTTCTATTGTAGCTATTTATTTTATGATTTCCCAGAGACTCTAGTTTCAAGGAAGTCTTTTTCATCACTGGGAACTGTTCCTGACAGCAGAAATGTACTTCATTTTCCATGCTAACATCATAAAATGCTTCCTCCTCAACTTGTTGTCGAGAGGCAGTGATGACACAAAACTGGCGGGCAGCATGCCATGCCATCTCCCCCTTGCTTTTCTCACAGTCTCACTCTGTCTTTCAATCATGCTTCCACGGTTTAAAAATCAAAGCTAGTAACCTAGTTTTCTTTTCCCCTGTAGAATCAGTTTTAAACATAATAGAAAACATTTTATAAATTAGATTTAAATGTCACAGTTCTAAAGCAATACCTTTAAAGGTAGAACAAAATATTCTGTGGCTTTAATTTCTGTCATATCTATTGTAGTTTATTCCACGGATTATTCTGGAAAATCATATTGATTTTTTTCTATTTCTCTTGATATTGATACCTAGTATCTTTATTTAAGGGATGCCATAAAGCATATTGAAAGCCATAAAGTTATCAGAATGAGTTTATTTAGAATCTTCTAGTTTCATAGTGAGTTTGCTAATAGTTGTCTTGCCATCTTTTGTCAGAAAGACCACAGTAATGAAAACCATGTTTCACCTTTTACATACATAATTGGATGAGATCACCAGATGCTGATGTTAGGAACAAATCAACAGGAAAAGTAGAAAATGGGAGTTGCATGGAAAAATACTAGGACCAATTAGCTCTGTCAAAAACCATATGACCAAGTGCAGGGGAGAAAAGTAGGTTTTGACCAGGAACTGACCTCAAGGCACTTAATAATGGAAACACCAGAATGTCCTTCTTACGGTTTTTTTTTTTATAATTTTTTTTTATTAAGAAAAGAAGAAAGAAAAACATAAACAAAAAACAAGTTTCCACCTCCTCCCAGCCTCCCATTTCCCTCCCCCTCCTCCCACCCTTCTCCCCCTCCTCCCACCCTTCTCCCCCTCCCCCCTCTCCTCTCCCCCTCCCTCTCCAGTCCACAGAGCAGTCCGGGTTCCCTGCCCTGTGGTAAGTCCTAGGTCCTCCCCCCTCCGTCCATATCTAGGAAGGTGAACATCCAAACTGGCTAGGCTTCCACAAAGCCAGCACATTAAGTAGGATCAAAACCCCGTGCCATTGTCCTTGGCGTCTCATCAGCCCTCATTGTTCGCCATGTTCAGAGAGTCCGGTTTTATCCCATGCTTTTTCGGTCACAGTCCAGCTGGCCTTGGTGAGCTCCCCGTAGATCAGCTCCACTGTCTCAGTGGGTGGATGCACGCCTCGTGGTCCCGACTTCTTTGCTCATGTTCTCCCTCCTTCTGCTCCTCATTGGGACCTTGGGAGTTCAGTCCAGTGCTCATGTGTGGGTCTCTGTCTCTATCTCTATCCATCACCAGATGAAGGTTCTATGATGATATGCAAGATATTCGTCAGTATTGCTCTAGGATAGGGTCATTTCAGGTTCCCAATCCTCAGCTGCCCAAGGAACTAACTGGGAACCTCATGTTGGGCACTTGGGAGCCCCTCTAGGGTCAAATCTCTTGCTCACCCTAAAGTGGTTCCCTTAACTAAGAATTGTGGTTCCGTGCTCCCCTATTCACCTTTCCTTTATCCCAATTCTCCTGATTCCCCAAGTCCCCCCTCCTTCCCTTCTACCTTTTCTCTCCCCATCTCCCCTTACCCCCATCCCACCCCACCCCCAAGATCCTAATTTTCTCCCCGGCAATTTGGTCTACTTCCCTTAGCCAAGAGGATAACTATATGTTTTTCCTTGGGTTCACCTTCTTACTTAGCTTCTTTAGGTTCACCTATTGTAGACTCCGTGGCCCTTATTTATGGCTAGAAACCATGGGATGTACTCGCTTACGGTTTTCTTAAGCTTTTCAAAATTAGGTGAAAATACCTTGGAACTTGATATATTATGGTCAGTATTCAAAAAACTTAGATGACTTCTGTTTTTCCTGCATTTTATGTTGATAGTTTTCAAGTGTACACAAAACCTGAAAAAAAAAAGACACCATTCAGTGAACAGCCATGATTTAACTGCCTCGGTCCTATTGTTGTCATTTGGATATAGCTGCTGTGTATCATGTACTCATTCTGTGGATCCATGAATCTTTCCGCCTTACTGGTTTGTACACCTCAGTAATTTCTGTCACTCAGGCTTTTAGCATAAACTTTATTAGTGAGCACTTAATATTTGCTTTTTTCAAAGACAAATATATATTGTGAAATGTACAGATTTTAAGAATATCATTTAAATATGTTGTTAAAATTGCATATACTTATATAATTAAAGACTTACCACTTTCACTCTGAGGCAACCACTCTTATGATATTTTTTAGTCATTGATTAGTTTGTTCTTGAATGTCACATTAATAGAATTATACAGTGTATACTCTTTGTGGCTAAGGCTTTCATTCAGAATAAAAATTTTGAGATTGATCTATGTTGTTGTTTGTGGCAGTATTTTATTCTTTTACATTACTAAAAAGTATATAATCCTGTGGGTATAGTATAGCTTGTTTACACATTTTCATGTTAATGATATTATCGCTTTGGGCCATTTAATGTGATGAAAAATTTTTCTTTTTGGAAAACACCTTTTTTTTCTTCTGTGATCACTTAGAAATATAATTGCTGGTCATTGCGTAATTGTAGTGTTTTTCTTTTGTTTGTTTTTTTAGGAAGCTACCATGTATTATTGAAAGTTTATTAACTTTTGCACACCATTCCATCAGTGCTTAGTGTGGTGACTCTTTACTATTCTGATGGATCCATACTAGAACTCATCCTGGTGATTTGAGACTGAGTTTCCCTATTATCACTGAAGAAAAACTCTTATATCAGAGAAAGTTGCCTTTGAGATCAGAGAATAGCCATTTGCTTATATTTACTATCTTCTCTTATGTCAGCAAACCATGCTTTGTGCTTTGGAACACTTGGGACTCATATATTGGAAAATGATATGAGTTTAAAGGTCAAGGATAGTGTAGGTTATAAGTGACTTGATTTTTATGTTCTTTGTATTTCATTGTTACAGACGAAGCTACTATGGAGGAAACTGGGCCAGTTTCAGCTTTTCAGGACTGTTGTCCTGGCTAAAGGAAGACCAGGTAAAGTTCTTAGCTGATATTGCAAGTCACTAGGTGGTGTCTCCTGTCATATGGTGTCCATACATTGAGGAGATGGTTTTCTCTGTCATATGAGATAGATAGCTTGACAAAAATACACACAATTACATATTTAGCTAATGTTTTATATATTTAAGGGAACATTTTTCTGAGAAGCATTCACAGACATTTTACGAGACATGGTAAATTCTCACCTATATTGGTTGGTCTTTGTATTACTATATAAAATCTAAAGCAATGTCATTCACTTATTTGAAGAAAAAAACTTAATTTGGAATCTTTTCTGGCTTGTGTGTTTACTTCTGTCACATGACAGAAGCACTTAAAGGAAAAAGAAAGAGAAAAAAAATTGAGGTTCAGAAAGTTTTTTCTGTGGTAGCTTCATGTTACTACAACTGTTGAGTACCCATCATCATAAAGAAGAATTTCAGAGGTAACTGGTAGTGTGGTGTGGAGATTTAGTCATGCTATGTAGGTTAACATTTTTTGTAAGACACATTTAATATAGATGGGTATATGTGGCTTGAGATGTAACTTATACCAAGTATATCTTACATGAAATCAGACCCTGCTGTCTCTCAAATTAGCTGAGACGGTTAGGAATAGAGTACGATAATATTCCAGGAATCTATTCAGTTAGCTAAAAAATATTTCATACTTAAAACATTCCATTACTTTATTACACATGGTACTTACTTTCATTTATTTAATGGACTGTTCTAGCAGCATTAACTCTGCTCATTATAAAAACATGGGTGATAAAACTGCGGTGATATTATAGTTTAAATACCACTGCACAAAATTGAGTGTGGCCCACTGGACAACATACAGAGAGTGAGAGATTTTGAAATGCTCAGCCCTAAAAGGAATGTTTATACCATATCATAGCCCATCCCTCAAAACTCAGGGATCTGTCTATGCAGAAGATGGAACAGAAGACTTTTAAGAGCCAGAGGAGGTAGATGACTTCAAGGAAACAGCATTTTCCAAGCACAACATGGCCTCATAGACACATGTATACCAAAGCTAGCTCTTAATAGATTTTATGTTATAGTTTTCCTCTGCCTCCTTTGAAGTTGGCACACTGAGTCAATTCAGTTACTCTAAAGCATTGGATTTTGTTGTGATAAAAATAAAAATATGATTTTAAGGCAAGATACTTTTTTTTGGAAATTTTAAGTTCAGATCTTTCAACTTAGTTAAAACTCCTTTTCTGTGTTTTGTTTAGGAAAACAGTGATGTTGTGACTGAAAATTCCAGCTGGCAAGCACATATTCTTGAGAATGAGGAAGCTATCCTTCTTAGCAGCAAGGACAAAACAATTCAACATGTAGAAGTATTTTGTTATGCCAGGTATGAAAATTATTTATGTAGCAATTTGTAAGATAATAGCCTTTCCCCCTTTTTATACTTCTTCAGGAAAATTGAGTGCCAAGGAGATTGCTATAGTAAAATCGATACACTGGCTTACCCTCTTTTTTAGCTGTGACTTTCAGTGTTCTCTATTTTTAATAATAATAATAATAATTCTAATAATAATAATAACTCCTAACAATGCCATACATTTCATTTTATCTTTGTAAAAATCCTATGTTACAGTAGGACTGTGCTGGTAAGTTTGTCAACTTCACACAAGCAATGGTCATCTGGGGAAGGATAATGTCAATGAGAAAATGGCACTAGATTTGTAGGCCAGTCTGTAGGGGCATATTGGTAATTGATTGATATAGGAGGACCCACCTCACTGTGAAGAATACCACTCTTTGTCATTTGGTCCTGGGTAGTGTATGAAAGCAGGTGACAGCTCAAGACATGTCTCAGAGTACTTGCTACTCTTGCAGAAGACCCAGGTTGTATTCCTAGCAACCACATGGCGGCATGCTACGACCCATAACTCCAGGACTAGGAGTTCAGATGCCTTCTTCTTACCTCCTTGGACACCAGGCACACATGTGGTGTACACGCATACATGTAGGCAAAATACTCAAACACATAAAAAAAAAGTTTTTAAGGAAAAGCAAAGATTGTAGACAAAAGGCATTCTTTATACACTACTATATACGTGTGATCTAGCCACTATGGAAGTCAGTATGGATACTTTTCAAATAAACTAGCAATAAATTTTTCATTGTAAATTTAGGTTTGTTTTCTTGATGTACAAAATTGTTTGAGTTTGTTGTGTGTACTAGTCACTAACCCTCTGTCAGAAATAGAGCTGGCAAAGGCTGTCTTCTCTTCTGTGGACCGATTCTTCATTTGATTGACAGTTTCCTCTGATGTACACAATCTTTTTAGCTTTGTACATTCCCATTACCCTTCTGAGGGTCTGCTGTCTCTTACCCTATTGGCGTATGAGGTGGAACAGTTGGAATAGCCCTTTTATTTTTATTTGTTTTGAATGTTTGGTACTGGATCTTTTTATGTTGCTTAGGCTAGGCTAGCCTCTAGCTCCTGTCTTTGCTCATGTCTCATCCTCCCAGAGTGATGAGCTTACTGCTGTGTACCCTTCCCTGTGTTTATGCAACGCTGGCGATCAAACTCACTGCTTTGTTCAAGCTATGCATTCTACCAATTGAGCAACATCCCCATTCCTGTTTTTTCATTTTTAGAGTGAATTTCACTGATGGCTGATTTTGTATATCATTTCCTGTACTTATTTGTCATTCATATGTCTTTTGGGTGAACTGTCTGGTGATTGATGTCTTTTACAAGTTTTTAAATAGAATTCCTTTTTTTTCTTTTTGGTTGCAGAATTCTTTTTCAAGTATTTGTTCTTTGTTAACTGTTTAGTTTAAAAATACTTTCCCCTGAATTGTAACTTGTGTTCTCATTCTTTCTAAACAGGATATTTTGTAGAGCAGGTTTTGCAAATTGTAACAAGCTGCCATGTATTCATTTTTCTCTCTGTATATTCTGTTTTTGGCATTGAGTCTGAGATCTCTTTACTTGGATGTACTTCCAGAAGCTTTCATTTCATTGAAAAGTGTTTCCTATAGATAAATATTGTACATTTTAGTTCATGACCCACTTTGAATATTTTTTGGTATGTGGTATGAGGATTAGGTATATATTCTCTCCCCACTCCCCAACCTCAAAACATCATTTGTTTCAACATCAAACTCTAGGGATTATGAAGATTATTTTGTCAGAGTTTTATCCTGAGTTCTGCCTCTTTGAACCTATTAATGCTTTTGCTGTTCAAAGGTTGTTTTACCTTTAAGTTATCTTCTGCAGTTAAACAACTGATTATTGAAAGGGAAAAAAAAAGTACCTGCAGTTGTTGGAAATTATTTTAGTAGCCGTTGCTATAGCTCTCCTTAATATATAGTATTACATTTGATTTTTTATTCTGTGCTGAAGCCATGCACATGATTTGTTAGAAGTGGATAAACTGAAGTTCAGTGAGAGGCAGTTAAGACAGGAAATGATATCGCTGGGCATAGAGAGGAAGTGATAAGGCAGGAGGAGACAGGAACTCAGTCTCTTTTTGGCCTGAGAAGTTGAATAGGTAAGGTGACTGTGGTTTTGCTCCTTTGTCTCTGATTTCTCAGCATTTTCCCCATTGTCTGACTCTGGGCTTTTATTATTAAGACCAAGTAGAACTCGTGCAACATACCTTTATTTTTCAATTTTGTTTTTGTTTTTGTGAGAGAGGAACTTGCTATACTGCCCAGCCTTAAGCTTTGAATTCATGCTGCCATACGGTATTCCAGTATCCTTAATTTGTTGTGATTGTAGCCTATATACTAGGGAATATTTCTTAGTTTATATGGGGGAACTAAAGTAACCATTTTTTCTAGCTTTAATTCTTATACAGATTAGGAGAAAGCAGACAGCATTATTTATTTCCACATGGGTCACACAAATGCAAATAGTTCTTAGATGAAAATTTATTGCATGTTAATTTCATACTCATGTTTTTTTCTTTAGTAAGAAAATAATGTTTTAAATTAATTTTGTCTCTGGGTTTGTATGTTTATATAAGTGTATGCTCACATGCATGTGTGTGGAAGTCAGAAACACTTACTGGATTCAGTTCTCTTCTTTATACCATGTGTTTATTACCTTGGGATCAAACTCAAGTTGTCAGAATTGATTGAGGACAAATATCTTTGCTCACTGAGCCTAGGAAGAAGAAATCTTATTGGTCTAAACGTAAGTCAACTACCTATGTTCCTTTTCTCTATTTTTGAATATTAATGACTAATAGTTCCCCAATTTTGATATAAAGTTAAACCAGAAGGAAAATGTGCTTCTTAAATTCAAATGAAGCAACTTTTTAGTGGATTGATATATCAAAAAAGAAGATTTTATTGTGACAGGAATCTGAAATTGCATTTCTTCATTTTAAACGCCACAAACATAAACAGTATACTTCTTGAACAATATTAACTATGGCATTAGTCTGCAAAAAAGAATGAAATAGAAAAATCAATGTAGTATATGCTGCATTTTTCAGTTTAGAGGAAGTTGTTTATTATTGTTTATAATAAGTGTGTTTTAGGCTGTGAAGGCATGCCAGGTAAAAGTTGTTGGAACAAGTAGGCAGATAGGAGTGTATCAGGTAGTTGTCAGAGGATTTGTAGCCTGTTTAGCTTATGCATGTTGGAGTACTAAGAAATGATAATGGTGAACTTCTAGCTTTACATCCAGGGTTTCTAGATTGTTGCCAGCTAGATGGTTGTCATGATTCCAGACAAGTTTATGGAAGAGTTTGAATTGTCTGATTTCTGTAATTTTTTTTGAGTAATCATTGAATATTTATTTTAGGAATAAACATCTGAAAAGCAGCACAATATACTATGCAAACATAATATACTATGCAAATCAGAAGTGAATGGCCTTAGAGCAAAGTACATATCAAATAAAAGAACAAAATTTCTACCGCATGCTATATTGAGGAAGAAAATTTGCAAAAGGAGAAATACAGTTAACTGTAGTCATGTTTTTATTTAGGGTGTGAACAACCTTCCTAAATAAAGATACAGAGACTTATTATTTATTATGAATTCTCAGCCTTATCTTAGGCTTGTTTGACTAGCTCTTTTAACTTAATTTATCCTGTTCCTATTCATCTTTATTTTGCCTTGGGACATTTTATCTTTCTTTCATTTTGTATGTCCCACTTTCCTGCTTCCACCTTGTCTGTCTGTCTGGCCCCTGGCACTTCCCTGTCATCTCTTTTTCTTTCTCTAAAGGCTAAATACTCTTCCTAATGTTTAATCTTCCTGCCTGGAAGTTCTACCTTGCTATTGGCTATTCAGCTTTTTATTAGACCAATCAAGTGCCTTAGGCAAGTTAAACAGCAACACATCTTTATATCATAAGCAAATGCAACACATCTATTCAGAATTAAATATTTCACAACCTTAAACATATGCAATACATATTTACATGCTTAAATATTCTGCAACATGTACAAGTGTACCACGTCTTTACATAGTTAAATGTGAATCATTTTTACATATTTAAATAATCTGCAGTAGTACCCTGTTTTATAATAATATTTTAAGGTTTGTTACTTTAGATTATGCTGTGGAACACTTGTTTTAATGATGTAAAATGTGTTGTTTTTATTTATGTTATATTTGTTTAACTCTGTGAAGCTGTGATTCCTTGTCTGTCTAAAACATCTGATGGTCTGCTAAAGAGCTGAACAGCCAATAGCAAAGCAGGAGAAAGCATAGGTGGGGCTGGCAGGTAGAGAGGATAAATTGTAGATGAGAGCTGCGGTCAGGCCTGTTTTTCGTCCTGCCTGGCTCCCGCATGGTTAGCTTTACACCCTAAATAACAACACACAAACTGTATTTATATAATCACTGCCTGGCCCATTATATCTAGCCTCTTCTTGGCTAACTCTCATATCTTGCTTAACCCATTTCTAATAATCTGTGTAGCACCACAAGGTGGTGTCTTACCCTGAAAGATTCAGCATGTCTAACCTGGTGGCAGGCTCCATGATGTCTGACCTCACTTCCCTTCTTCCCCACATTCTATTCTGTCTACTCCACCCGCTTATGTTCTGACCTATCAGGCCAAGCAGTTTCTTTATTAATTAAATAATGAAAGCAACAGATAGACATATGACCTTCCCACATCAATAAATAGAATGAGAAATCTGGGAGAAGAAGAAGCAAGAAAGAGAAAAAGGAGAGATGGTTCTAGGGGCCAGCCACCCAGCCAGAAATAGAATAAGGGTGAAATTAAGGTATACTGATGTAAGAAAAGGAAAAAAAAACCTAAGGAAAAAGGTAGATAGAATAATTTAAGTTAAGAAAAGCTGGCTGGCTTTGAACTCGTGATCCTCCTGTCTTTCCCTCCTTCAGCAAATCATGCACACTCATACTACAAGG